GCTTTGCCTTGAGGTGCCCAACGTGTTGTTTTTTCGCATATGTTTACTTTCAACATTTGACATTTTCATCGTCTCATTCCCACTGCAATCTCATCAGTGGCAAATTCAAGGCTTGACAAATCGAGTTTAGTGCTGTTATCAAAATCAGCGGATTAATACCGTCATTTTTTGCAAATTAAATTCGAAATGAGAAATCGACGATGGATACGAAAAAAAGAACACCTTTCATTGATTGGTTTCTAATACATGTTGTCATGTCAACGTGTTGCTGTTTTTTTTCTCTCAATCAATACAGCATATGTCGTTGGGCCTTAACATCGATGATGTTTTTTTTGAACATCTCGATTGATTCAAACGGAAATCGATGGCGAACCTGAAATCGTGATCTAGAGCAAATAGAAAAGAAAAAAAAACAACTAAGCATCAAGAGCAATCACAACAAAGACACCATTTTCGCTTTAATTTGTTGCTGTGCGTTTAATTGGATCAGAATGGTGCTAAACTGCATTTTCTACACACCATTTCAGTGACCGATGATCAGCAGCGCAGTTGCATCGATCCAGTTAGCATCATCATCAGTCACCAATTAACCAATGACATCAATGTCAATTGTTTCTATTTGTGGCAATTCCACCCATTTCGCTCGAATCGATTCAGTTCGATACGAGTCTCGCCTCTCTACGTTTCCACTCGTTGCAGTTTAAAAACAAGACTTATGCGCCACGGCTATGGTACGAGCGTAAAATGTAGCGAGATGGATAAGCGCTCGTGCCTTGTGATATCGAATTGCCGCCGCCGATCGAACGAGAGCCGAGAGAAAGAAAGCCTTTAGTTAAGCCATTTGGAAACGTGAAGCAAAACACATTGCCACCATAGTGATATGGAAAGAAGAAAGAAGAGGCTTATAAAACTATATACACACAGATATGCGGTTGGCGCGCCGAGATGCTGATATACAATATCGGATTCGCACAAGATTGACCCACTTTCACAATTTCCCATGTAGAGTACACCGAGCCGAGCCAGCCGATTGTTTGCTCGATGTGTTTGTGTTTTTTTTGTCTACTTCTTCTCGTTTTCGGTGTTGTATTTTAACGGGTTTCGATGATTTGCAGCACTCAAATGACGTGTGTTTGCGCGCACAAGAGTACCGAGCCCGTCGACTTGTCCAAGAGTATTGTCACTGCCATTCTCAGTCAAAATGGTCATTTTTCTTTTCTTCGATTCGATCGGTTTAGCTCTGACGATTTCTTGTCATGCAAATCCATTTCTCTTTCGGGCTCGTGGTGCGACAATGCTCACCGATTTCGCTTTATTGTTTTACTGTTTTAGTCAATGAGCAATTTAAGGCCATTTCATTCCGATTCCCGTTTAATATTCAATTGATACTAAAACCCACAGAGCCACCATTGATAAAGCATTTCTTTTATCTGATTTTTTTTTTCTTCGTCTCTCGTTTCTACTTTACCATCCAAATCGCTCGTAAAATAAAGAGAAATAAAAAACTATATTTCTTTTCATACCAAACTTACACTTACACTCTTTCTATTTGTGCTTCGTTGAATGCTAAATGGATATGATATGCGGCGGTCGTGTTTTGATCGAATCACAACACGAATAAAAGTACTATTTCTACTGCTGCTGCTGCTGCTGCTATGTATTCGCCGTTTTCGCTTTTCTATTTTGCATTTCAATTTAAGATATGTTACTTTTGTTGTAATTTTTGTGTTATGGTTATATATTTTTTTTGTTCGTTTGTTTCATTCAGTGGAATGTTTTTTGTTTCGTTCATTTCTTTCTGGCTGGTTCGTTCGTTCGTGGCCAAATGAACAAAGCCCACCAAATAATGATATCACTAATGCTTTGCGCCGCTTTTCTATAATATGTAAACATAGTGATTTTCGTGTTTTTTTCGTCAGTTTTTTTCCAAATGTTTTCGAACTTTTTCCTATCGCTTCACAGCGCGCGTCTGGTCAGCCCATTCAACTAGTAAAATACTATACACACTTTCTTCCGTGAAATGATTGCGGCCGTTTAACGAATTTTAAAATGCTGATATTCCACGCGAAGAGTGAGAGAGGCACAGAGAGAGAGAGAGAGATTATCATATGGCTTGACGTTATTTCAGCCCCCTCGTGATAAGCATGTTAACCATCCGTTTTTGCATGTAAATCATATAAATATAGTACGAAAAGTGAAATTTCACACCGTGCATTTTCTTTCGAAACAAAAAACTGGAACCAGATTCCCCTTTCGTGCAATGTACTCTCGTGTCATATCACAAAACAATACGTCTTTGTCTTAAGATTTTTGGCCATCTGTGGTAGTGAGCATGGCGGGCACGCGCGGTACACACACATTTTTTCCCATTCAATTAATCGACATTCTCATATCCAGTTGATTTGAGCGCGACTCGTCTGCGCGAATGCCGAGCGCGCACATCATCGACGTTGTGTGCAACGCCAGCACACCGTTTCAAAAGCAATTTGTCCAATGCAGTCTCGCTTTTCAACGGCAACCTGCCGACAAATTAACATTTTTTTACCTATTACAATTAAATTATTTACAATTTTCAAAGCGAACCACATAAATAATTCATAACGCAAAAAACGTACATGTACAATACAATGAAAAAAAAAACAAATCCATTGCCTTGAAGCTAGTGTTTGCTCAATGGCTCAACGATGGCAGCGGCGGCGGCGCTCACAGCATAATTGTCAGTCAGTTCAATTCAAGTGAAACTCAATTAGCGCTAAACAAATAATTAAAAACCGAAAATTGCACAAAAATACACACAATCGCCTGTTTTGTTGAATACAAACGCTTTTCTTGTTTGTTATACACGTAGAGCATAGTTTTGTGTGTACGCTGATCAGCGCCGTTTCAACGAAGCGCACCGTGGTCTCACCCATTTACCAAACAATCGCCCGACTTTTCTTTATAATAAATAAATTTTTTCTTCGTTGTTGTTGTTCAAATTCAGGCGGTTTTATAATATTTGCCGTGCATGATTCGGTTTTTTATTTTCTTCCACCAAAAATTATGTGAGACAACACCCTTTTGTATTCAATTACTGATGCGCGCTATATTTTGGGCACTTCTTTTACATTGAAACGTCAATAACGGATGTGTTTGGTCTACCAAAAAAAAAACTGTAAAATTCTCATTATTTTGTAGAAATATTATAATAATCAGAGTTGCACCGTTTCGTTGAACCGTTCACACTTCGGCAGATGCAGTTCATTGAGAAACGGATCTCATTATTATTCATGCATTGCAAAAGTTCAACACGTCGATGGCTGAAATGGGTGTGTGCGCACGTTTTGCTCAAATCTCACACTTGGTTCAAACGACTCTGAATACAGAGATAGAATCAACCGGCTATGAGGTGTAGCGAAATGTGCAAATTGGAAAAACAACAACAACACGACTTTAGTGGCATTAGCGTTCAAAATAGATAATTTCATAAACAGTTTTTTTTGTTCATCAATCTTGTTTTATTGAATTGTATTCATTGGAATCAGTATCCTATTCAAGCGTCATGCTCTCTCTCCATCTATCTCGCTGTATTTCCATTCAACGGTTATGAATATGAAATAAATTCTTAGGTTTGGAAAGAAGGAAAAAAAGTGGTGAAAACAGAGGCAATTTCCGAGGAGAAAACAAAGGAGTCGTCAGTCGTTGAACAAAATTCCAATCGATTTTTTGAATATTTGTTACGGACAATTGCCAGTCGATAGAGTTGATGTTTTTTTCTTTCTTTTGATTAATCGAAAACAATGGCATACACAGTACGACGAACTATAATGAAACTTGGTGAAGTGTCCGTTATTTTTATCTTGTTCGAATGACAGATAACCAAAAGAATGACGCGCACACACTCACAATGCAAAAACACACTCACAGACACAAAAAAAACAACAATCGAATGCAAACCATTCATTTGCCGTCCGATATAATTTATTGCCTGTGGACATGTATTCAGCAAACGAAGTGTCGATTTGTCAATTTATCAGTTGTTTCGTGTCTTTGGATTTTTGCGCATCGCAATAATTTGTTTTTTTTTTTGTGTGTTGAACCTGAGCAAATTAATTAAAAAGCATAAATATTAATCTGATATTGACATTTTAGTTTGACCTTTTTTCTCTCTCGCTGTCGCTCTCTCTTTCTTTCTTGGTTCTGATCGACAAATAACGTAATCACTCGTTGCAAAAATATTGAATAAAAAGGTTTTTGTGTGCTGTTCGTTGTCGTCGTTGTCGTGTTGAAAGTTCGGTGTTGAGTGTGCTATAGCGACACAAACAAATAAGTCGCTTGTGATGAGGTGATGCTCCTCCGTACAAAAATGCCAGACATTGTGCCAAAAGACGAAAATCATAATGTAATTAAGTCAAGTTGTTATTTACTCTCTTTTTTTTCTGCTTTCTGGTGTCGAAATTTTATTTGCATGCTATCGAATGATGTTTGTTTCGCTGAGTTGAATTTTGACGTTATTGTTGTTGTTGGTGGTGGTGGTTAAACGGCGATGGGCTCGATACAGTGTGAACCGTAATTTAAAAGTCAAACCATCCGAATATGATGATTTTTATTTTTGTTCGTCGTCGTCTTGTGAAAGGTCGAATCGAAAGATAACACATTTCTTTCGGCAATGAACAACATTTTGCATTTGTTTCGGATGCGAGAATATCATTGTTGTTACACATGATGTTTCTGAATCTGGCTATTTCGTATTTTCTGGTTTTCTCGCTTCTGTTTTTTCTTCTTCTTCTCTTGTTGGTTGGAATTTTCTCTGCTCATTTTTAATGGCAACCAAAAACCCAAATTACTAAGCTAATAACTCTCTACACATGTGAATGCAAATAAAACAAGTAAATGAAAAAAAAACAAACAACAGCAACAGATAACATTAACAATAAATTTTTTTTCGTCTCTCTCTCTCTTTCTGTTTTTTTTTCCGACGTCGTGTTCTACTTTCATTTGGCGCGCCGTGTCGAGAGCAGAATTTCAAAGAAAAAGATGCCGGCAAAGTGGTGCTGTACTCGACTAGCATGGGAATCGTACGCGAAACATATGCGAAATGTGCCAATGTGAAACAAATTCTACGGACTTTGCTGGTCAAATTCGAGGAGCGTGACATTTTTATGAGCAACGAATATCAGCAAGAAATCAAAGATCGCATGCAATCGATGGAAATTCAAGTGCCGCAACTCTATGTTGACGGTCAATACATTGGCGTAAGTGGTGTTTTTTTCTCTCGTCCTACTCTTTATTGTTGTCGTGATTTTAAATTCAGTTTTTATTGTCTCGTTTGGCTTTGATAAATGTAAAAATAATGATTGGACATGCTGTCAAAATTTCACTTTCTTTTTCGATTGGAAAACAAATAAACCAAACAAACAAAAAAATATGAAAACAAAATTGAATTAATTGACCAATATGAAAAATCGACAAATAATCGCGGCAAAAAGAGGCCTTTAAGCAAAAGGTTAATCATCTGTAAGAAAAACCAATTCGACGCGATTGAATAATATAAGTGAATTGTGCGGCATTTGCATGTCTCGCCATATTTCACAAATCCTCAACGCTTTAACGGAATTTTCACACATTTTTTTTTTGGTTTCATCTCGTCTATACCTTAGGATGCAGACCATGTTGAACGTCTCAACGAAAGCGGTGAACTTCGACAACTACTTAAAATGTATAAGGTAAGTGTGATTGCTGTATCAATTCTCCATGGGAAATTACACGATGTGAGTGTTTGTGTGTGTTCTCAATTCAACGCGAAAACGTTCTACATTCCTTCAGTTTCTTTCGAGTCGACTTCGCGGTGGCTTATAGAAAGATCTTTCCATCTCAATTTCTTAAAAATAATAAAAATAATAATGACTTGTTCAGTAAACAATGTTACCAAAATTGTTTTGAACTTTTGCGATATTTCTTAATTCGGCATCAATTCTTTTATATACCAAAAACTAATTATATGTTTTTTTTTATTCATCCCATTCAGACCTCAAATTCAGCACAGACATGTCAAATTTGCGGCGGATATCGTTTAATGCCATGCCCCTCGTGCAGTGGATCAAAAAAATCGGTGCATCGAAATCACTTTACCACCGAATTTGTAGCCCTGAAATGTATGAATTGCGATGAGGTCGGTCTAGTGAAGTGCTACAATTGCAACGATTGATAAACTGTTAGTATTTCATTTCTTTTAAATCAATATGAAAATGGTTCGAACAATCGATTCAATTCAATTCTTATTCGAATAATTTCATGCCAAAAAAAAATTCAATGGTCATTTCTATTTGTATCGATTTTCAAGGACATGACGTTCGAAACACAGTAAACAAGTTCAATAATGCAGATGATGAAGGCGCCGGCCTCGACGTTAACTCAAAACGATTCAACTATTCCGTCATTTGAACACACACACATATACATATATAATCAATTAAATTAAGTGGAGGAGACAAGAGCAATGCTGAATGGAATGCGAGGAGATTGTGGATGAGCAATTAAAATTTCAAGTGCATTTAATAATTTGTTAGTTAAGAAATTATGCCGTATAGAGTCAATTGATCATTGTAAAATTCAGAAGAGGAAGAAGAAGGAAAGGCACAACAAAAGGAATGATTTTAAACAACTCTTAGATTTAAGACCATGCTGACTATCTCGATTTGATTTGGGAAGAATGAATGAATGTTGTCCACAGTCGAACAATGCCAAGAGCCAATTGTAGTTTCGCCAGAATGGATAACTGAATAGAAAAGAGAGAGAAAAAAAAAACAAACGAATTGTACTGGATGTGAAATATCATGGGAGAATTAAAATATTGATTTTCACCTAATTTTCTTTTTATAATGTGCAATTTTAAACATAAAAATTCTTTATATTCATTTTTTTTCTGCAGTTCTTCTTTTTTTTAAAAACTTACATTAGTAGAAATTAATCAATGAAATTCGAAAAATTCATGTTTCTGAAGATGTACGTGCGCGGGATTGGCAATTGAGAAAAAATTCACTTTAATTTATTGGTATTTTCTTTTAATTGTAGCCATAAGTTTTATTGTATTCTCTTAAGTGAACAATGATGAACGGTTTTTTTTATAAAAGAAAATATTCCATATCATTCTAATCGGCAATCTGTATGCATAGAAATCTAATTTCAAATGAAATAAATGGAAATCGAATTAAAAGTGTTGACTTTTTTATTGTCTATTTTTAACGGCCATTTGTCGCAGTCATTTAAATAGTGGACTGTCGTCGATTATCATTAACAATTTCATAGTCTGATCTGAATTAGCACGAGAGATTCTGAGATTTCGACAAAGTCTTTGTCTTGAATAGGTAACACACGACATGATATCATAAAAACGCAACACATAATTTTCGCTAAAAATGCTTGCATAAAATCGAAACTCGTTTTTTGCACATTTTGCGCTTGAAAAACTAATTTATTTCTGTATTGAAATGTAAACAAGCTCATAAAGATCATAATCTCACATTCAAAAATCACCGAAATGTTTCAATTTTATTTCTACCTATTTATGTGGTTGGCCACAGCATATAACAAATTATGTGATTTTCTTCTGTGATTTGTCGGCTGATTGTGCAAATGTTGCTTCCCATTTTTGCATGAACTTGATGAATTTCTCGTCTTTGATTTGAAATGTTGGGTTAAGGTTACGCGCCCGCTTGTAATGCTTTATTGCCTTCTGCGGCTGATTTCGTTTCTGATACTGAATGGACAATTGAACATGGGCGACAAAGTTACGTGGATCTAGCTTGAGGATATGATGGTACAATCGCTCCACTCGCTCAAAGTCAAAATTGATTCGGGTAAGTGCACTTGCGATGGCTGACAACACTGGAACATTGTTTGACATGGTTAGATTGGCTCTGTCAATGGCAGCCATCAACTCGTCTTGTGTACCTTTCGATCGGAAAATTGGTGAAGAATATGGAATTTTTGACGAATTTTCAATAAAATAATTTGAAAAAAGGTAGAAAAACACGAAGAAAATTTCTTTTTCAACTTGATAAACTAAGACAAAAACCGTTTTGACAAAATCAAACGATGAAACATGCAAAGAAATATAGCAATTGAAAGAAATATCAAAAGAAGCAATGAGAAACAATAATTAAACGTTGTAGATAAGCAAATGTGCACTATTTACCGTGTTCACTCAAGTATACAATCAAATTGATGTGAGCACGTTGTGACCGGGGTTCAATTTGTACGCTCTTGCGGTACATTTTCTCGGCCATCTTTCGATTGCCCATGCGTAAGTACTGAAACAGAGTATACATTAGATTGAATTTCATTGCCGGCCGATTATAAATCGTGCGATTGGTCGATTGATCAGTTATAATTTCCATACCAAATTGCCCAAGTTGAATGTAATTTTCTCGTTGTTGGGTTTTAGTTTGTCGGCTTTGAGATAGGCAACCAATGCTTCATTAAATGATCCATGTTCAACGTATGATATTCCTAAATTCATCCAGCCCAATGGATGCTCCGGCCTAACGATCGAATTAATCAAAATAAATAAATGAGAAAATATTAATTTGAAAGAGAAAATACTCGACACTCACTCCAAATTCGTGACTCTTCTATGGAAATCGATAGCATTTTGTGTATGGCCAAGATGTCGATATGCGTTTCCGAGATTAATGAGCGTGCTAGTAGTGTTTGGTTGCAGCTCATTTGCTATCAAATTGTATTCGAGTGACTTGCTTTGATTTCCCTTTGCCGCGCTTATTTGGCCAAGATTATAGTAAATCTTCGCATTATTCGGGCAAACACGAACTGCCGATTTGAATAACTGTAAATTATTTTGCCAGTCGATTGATCTCTCATTGGAGCGCATCATGAATAGCAGCAGCACCATCAAACTTATGATTCGAATCAATTTCGGACTCGTTTGAAGAATGGCTTGCGCGCCGAATGCGATAAGCAAGCAATAGCCTATTGAGGGAATGTACAAAACTCGGTCAGCCAATACAAAGCCAACGGTAACGAGGTTAGAGGATGGAATGAATGGTACTATTAGAAATGCCATGGCAATGCGAACGTGTCTGAAAAAATGAAATGGAATGGATGATATTCAAAATGGATCTTGATTTAGAATGATTACCTTGGCCCAACGATAAACGCTCGAATCATGAGAATATAGAATAGTAAAGTGAGTGCTATTCGGTGATCGGTCCATGCGTCGATGAGTTTTAATGAGCCATACGACCAATCGCAACACAACCAATCGGGACAAATTAGTAACCACATGTTTAGGGCATGAATGTAACATGATGTAAGGAGCTGGAGATAAGATTTAGTAGGTGAAAAAATGTTTTGAAACTTTTGATGCAAAATTGACTAAGAAAAGCACTTTAGTCACTGACCAAGGAGGACTTATCTTCGATCACAATAAACTCATTTGATAAGAAAATTTTATTCTCAAATTCAAAATTGTTGATTCAACTTACTCGTGTGAATAGACTTGGATGAGCAGCGATAGGATTTTCCTGAGCTGAAAACTTGGGTAGTTTATATCCCGTAGAAAAAACACGAATCAGCATCAATCCTATTGTCATCAATGTTAAATAAACGCTTCGCACGATGACTGTCTGGCAGCTCTTACGAAGAAATTCGAATCTTCTGCTGACATCACGACGACGAACTTTTGGTAGCGACATATTCGCCAAAAGGTCATACACAGCGCAAAATGGCTAAAAATAAAAATGAAAAATCGTCAATCAATCCTGAATGCAAAATGAAGAGCTAAAAGTCGCTTAAATCAACATTCACAGTCTTGGTGATTAATCAGAAGCTTACCAAGACCATGATCCCAACTTCTTTGCAAAGTAAACACATTAACGCTACTACGAACAGAATGATGTGGCTTATCCAGCTCACTTTACCCGTCTTTTCGTGGCCTAGAAGAGAGGAGTATGCATCAATTTGAAAGGTTTTATTTCGATTTGAGGAACGTTGTATGCTTCTTGAATATTTCTCACTACTAGTAAAAATAATTCTGGCTAAGAGAATCGATTGAAAAAAAGCTACAAACCTTCGACGACATCTAAAAAATGGCTGAACGTAGTTAAAAAGAAGAAGGTGCACATGAGATCGGCACGTCCCACAACTGAACAAATGACCTCTGTGTGAATGGGATGAGCGGCAAACAGTAGTGTTGCAATTGATATGATTGAATGGTCAATGTCTTTGAATATGCGCCGCAAAACATCGTAAAGCACAGAACAAATGACAATGTGAAGCAGTAAATTGACTCGCTTCATGTGCGCCGGCAAATATGTTTGGTCGAAATACCGGAATTCAAGGTGAAACATCAACGTGACCATCGGCCGAAATGATTTGTGGCTGCGTTCATTCGTGAGATTCTGACCCCAGAAATCATGCATTAGAATCTCTTGGACATTGTGCAATATCGACTGATTAGTGTTTGTGACATCCGAATTTTTCACAATCGCTACACCGTCATCGTACACAAAATCATGATGGTACAACAACAAACTCGAGCCGAAGCTCAAAACGCACACAGCGATTATTTTGACCCACTGGAACAATGAAAGAAAAATGATTCCGTTAGCACAACACAAAGAAAAGTCTTGAGATTTTAGTGAAAAAAGAACACTAATTCCATTCTAAACCAATGTTGTACCTGTACAGTTTCCGTCGAAACAGACATCGCTAACCACTTTCTCACAATATAAATTAATATAAAATTTCTACACCAATTGGTGATAAGTCATTAAAATTGTCATCTATTCTGAAGATTTTGCCGAAAATTTATCTAGATCTATCTAAAACTCTATTGTATTTATGCGGATTAAAACGTTGTTTCCGTTGGATTCACATATTCTTGTGATGAGAGAGCGGCTTTTTTCGACACATTGTTCCAATTCTTTTCTATTGGCACAAATAACTACTGCTACCGATTGTGTTGTCAAACTCTCTTGTTTACAATGCCACTGTGCAAACTAATGTCACTTTTTTCTTGCTCCAATAAGAAAAATGTCAATGTATTGGTGCAGCCCTTGAATTCGCGCAGCACGTGCTGATTCATAACAAAACACGCACACTAACAAACATATCATGTGCAAAAGGAATTAGTTGTACTTGTGATAATTTGTTTGTGAATCAATTTTTATAGTTTCATATCGAGCAAAAGCCCGATGATAAAAGTATTAGTACGAATAATGTAAGGAAAATCTATGAGAAAGTCAAGATAAACTAAAAAAAAAGTTCCATAAAACGTCATAATCTGCGAGTGATTCATAATTTTAAAGGAATTGGTTTTACATTTCGCCTAGCACTTTACTAAAATTCTTCAAATTTCCCCTACCAGAAATCGTTTGATAATATTCCATCGATGTAGTCTGATAAGATAAGAGCTATACACCGTAATTGTAATAGCTAACAAAAATATCAACAAACCACACATACACACATGCACGAGCCTCACATGCTTGAGGCCGAATTGTTTAGAAAGAGACAGCTCGTTGTGTTGTGAATCGCGCTTCACATGTGAGATATTAGTTTCGGGCTTCGGGCTACCAGATAGCGCGCACATACATGACTACCAAACGTCGTACTGTCGCATTGAGATTTTCTAAAAGATTATGACATTGACATGACATTTGCTGCCAATTGGTTTCAGTGTTCAGTGGTTGGTTAATTGTGCGAACAAAGGCGAAAAAGGAGTGAAAAAATCCATTCGATTGATTTTTTCCACAGAAACTTTTTTCAATTTCGTTTCGACGTTTACCACAACGACCACAAAACAACCGAACAAAAGAAAATTTCCCGAATATCATTCACGTTGATCGTGAAATAGTTGAGTTAAGTGATTTTTGTGTGAAGAAATTTCTACGTTCTTCTCTCTCTCTCTCGCTATTACGTCGATTAGTAGTGCATTGTCGATTTGTTAACCAGAAAGTAGTGTGACGTTCGTTCGTAATGAGGCTATAATTATAAACAGAATAAGATGACAAATCAAACCACTTGAAGCGATTCTGTTTCATAACTCAGAACTATTCGGAAAATAACACGTAGAAACGATTATCGAAAAAAAACAAACGTCATTAGTGAATGTACATTTGTAGTAGTCCGGCTACCAAAGTGATTTAACAACTGTCAAAAAACGAAAACATTTTCTTTTGCCGTCCCAATCAACAATTGAGTTGCGGAACAAAAATCAAAATAATGCGAAGTCGCAGTAATTCGGGTGTCCGATTGGACCAGTACCAACGAATTGTACACAAATTGATAATAGCACATCAACAGCCAGTAACGGGTCTGTTTCCAGCTTCACCAAACAATTCACATGCTTGGGTATGGCATTTTCATTCAAAATGTGATACAATTTTTCGCTAAAATCGTACAATGACTTTTGATTCTCTTGTAGATACGTGACAATGTGTACTGTATTCTTGCCGTGTGGGGCCTATCAATGGCGTACAAAAAAATCGCCGATCAAGATGAAGATCGAGCCAAAGCCTACGAATTGGAACAGAGTTGCGTGAAATTGATGCGCGGTCTGTTGATGGCGATGATGCAACAAAAAGACAAAGTTGAAAAATTCAAAACCACACAGAATCCACTCGATTCGTTGCACGCCAAATATTCAAGCCGCAACGGACAAACCGTCGTGAAGGACAATGAATGGGGTCACCTCCAAATCGACGCAATTTCATTGTATTTGCTCATCTTGGGCCAAATGACAGCATCTGGATTGCAAATCGTTTTCTCGTTAGACGAAGTTGCCTTCATTCAAAATCTTGTCTTCTACATCGAGTCAGCTTATTGCATACCAGACTATGGTATTTGGGAACGTGGTGATAAAACCAATCATGGTTTACCCGAATTGAATGCCAGTTCAATTGGCATGGCAAAAGCTGCTCTCGAAGCTCTAAATGAGCTCGACTTATTCGGAGCACGTGGCGGATCGGCCAGTGTTATTCATGTGTTGGCAGATGAAGCTCACAAGTGCCAAGCGGTTTTGCAGTCGATGCTACCAAGAGAATCGAACAGCAAAGAATTAGACTCAGGTCTGCTGTCGATCATTGGATTTCCAGCATTCGCTGTTGACGACCCACAGCTAATCGTCAACACACAAGAGGCAATAATTACCAAACTACAGGGAAAATACGGTTGCAAACGATTCCTTCGGGATGGATACCGAACACCGAAGGAAGACTGCGCCCGTTTGTACTACGAACGATGGGAATTACGAATGTTTGAGAACATTGAATGCGAGTGGCCACTCTTCTACTCGTACCTCATTCTCTTTCATTTGTTCCAAAATGATAAAATAGCCGTCTCGAAATATGCCGCTAAACTCGAAGAAGTTTTGGTCAAATCGGACGATGGAATGTACTTGATGCCGGAGAGTTATGCTGTACCAGCCGATTTAGTACCGGCTGAATATTCAAACCCTGGCTCGCAACCACGAGAAGTCGTGGGCCGTTGCCCATTTCTATGGGGCCAATCGCTTTATATTCTTGGGAAATTGCTTCAAGAGGTACCGTAATCAACTCTAGCTACATATCACAGCCGGCGATAGCAGACGCCAGTGATGAAAATTCCGATCTATTTGTGTTTATCAGCTCATTTAATATTGATTTGAATGTCAACATTGATTTCAGGGTTTTCTTGCCGTTGGAGAGCTCGATCCATTGAATCGTCGTTTGGGCGCACAGAAAAAACCAGATGTCGTTGTGCAAGTCGTAAGTGTTCACACATATAATAAATTTTGAATGGAAAAATCATCATTCAAACGATTGTATAATAAATTCTCACATTGCATCACAGGTCATATTGGCTGAGGACAATGAAATACGTGACAAATTAGCAGAACACGATTTGCACGTGCAAACAATAGCCGAAGTAGCTCCGATTGAAGTAAGTCATCGTGCAAATGAAGTATTAGTAGAGTAAAATTTTGCTTCAATTTTCAATTACTTTTGAAAAAAGTTCAATTTGAATTCTAATCAATTTCAATACCACCAGGTTCAACCAGCCCGTGTACTTAGCCACCTTTACACTTATTTGGGTCGCAATAAGAAGCTTGGTCTGTCCGGTCGAAAGTCTCGAGATGTTGGTATTTTGAGTACCAGCAAATTATATTCTCTAAAAGATCGCGTGTTTGCATTCACGCCACAGGTAACCCAAGATTTCAATAGAGAAAAAAATTTCATTTTAAAAAAGAACTAAAAGAAAAAGAAACCATGAAAAGTTGCTTAGTTCCGACCGGATTTAGTTTTCTTTTTTTTTTAAATACAATATTTTTCTCGTTCCCTCTCCCTCAAAACAACAACAACAATACACAAACGATAAAATGTTTTGTTACGGTCGGATTCAATGTGTGATTAACAAACAATCGCGAAATGAACGTATAATGCGATTGGGATGTTAGTTTGTCGATTTGTCACGTTTTTACATCGCGTCTGACAATGAATTGATAATCGACATTTTGAAAGGAGAGATCAATTTCTTGAAATCGGCCTGGCAAAACTTACTCGGACGACCGCTCGTTACGCTCGTGATCAGGCCAGTTAATTTAGGTCGGTGGTGTTTTTTTTAGTGTTTTGCTCATGTATGATTCATTGAGTGTGTGCTTGATTATTTATTGACATACACTCCGTAACTGTTGTATAGTACTTAAAACCCCCACAACTAAGCTTCCATAAGAATTGACCGAATAATAATAAGAAAAACGAAGATTTTCGTTTTGAAACTATAGCCAATTGACTAACTACAGTGCGTTTTGCGTAAATTGACCTCCCGATCCTCGTCATGCAATATTTATTCTTTATTATTTTGTTTTTTTTTTGTCATTTTTGGTACTTTTGTTATTCATTCGCATTTAGCATATTTTTATTTTCTTCATTTTGATTATATTTTTTTCTTGTTTTTTTTTGTTCTTTGTTTCAAATTTGTATGAATTCTGTTTTTTTTCTGTTTCAATTGTTCTCTGTTATTTTATGTAAATTTTCTTTTAAGCTTTTGAATTTACTCGTATTGAAAAGTATTCCTCATAAATTTTGATTCAAATGATTGAGTTTCATGCATTGAAGTTGGTTGAGGGTAAGCGTAAGAAGTGAACATTCGGACCATTTAAGCTTGAAAAGAACTAGACCAACATTTCAGAAAACATAAAGAATGAAATTCGAAAAAGAAAAAAACACCTTTGTTTGCTATTGTTGTTTTGAGCTGAAGTTAAAGTAAAATTATATAGATTTTCTCCCTGTACTACGTTTACAACGTCCGTGCATCAAATTGCATCGTATAGAGATACTAAAAGTAGAGAAAATTTCCCATCGACTATATATTCAAAATTTCAAAAGTGTAGGCCAATTTAATCGATTTGTGTCATACAAAATTCAAAATTTTCAAGAAATTCTTTCTTTTTATTTTATCCCTAATAATTCCAAATCCGTCAAAATTTTCTAAAAGAAAATCAATCAAAATTCCAAATTCTCTCTCTCTCTTTTAATTCAACGATTGGATTTGCATTATTATTACAACCGATGTAGAATTTCGACTATGAAGAATACTATACGACACGTGACCCAGCACTATTAGCTAGCATTTTCACGACTAATCTCGCATTTGTCGCAAGTAATTGGCGTCATATGTTGGGACGACCAACTATAACGTTATTGGCTACTCACTATCTACTAGGTAATTGTTATAGACCACATTTTTTTTATTTACAACAACAATTGTTTTTCTTCTTTTTGTAGAATAGATTTCCGTTTTTATGAGACATATTTGAATTTTTCTCCGTTGGTCGTCGTTGCAATCCGCTTGAAAGTGTCAAACTGTAAAAATATGTTTAGTCTTCCTTTTTAAAACTAGCATGTTATCTGTTTGCACTATTTTCAACTGAAGCTAATACACTTTTTCGTTTTGTCTAATTTTAAAAAACCGAAACCGTTTTATTCGTTTTGAATAAGATTTTATCAAGTTTTTTTTTCGTAATTTTATTTTTAGTTCACTAGAATTTTGTGTTGCGATGTTCCATGTCCGAAGAGTTGCCTGCACCAAATTTGATATGATTTTATTTACATCGCCATTCATTTTCAATCTTACGTTCTCGCTTCTCTTAACGGCTTTAACCTTTTAAAGCACTTTTTTTCATTTCCCAATCATTCCTCCTTAATGAATAATTTCTTTTAATCGAATAATTTAAAACTTTCGTATTTTGAACAAATCAATTATTTTCATAAATATTTCCTCACTCGAACTATCCGCATGGTAGTTTGAATTCTAGTAGTTGATACATCGCTTCAATATTTCTGCATTGAAAATTTGCTTTTTAGCTTGATTTTTTCTTGAATTACCTTGAATTAATGAGAATCTTTCGTACAGATCACGGTCGTGTGCCATTAGCCATGGTTCAAACAATGAAAAAATTGAAATCTGGCTATATTAACGGTACTCGCGTTATGCTCGGCCATCTTGGTGATTTCTTGAACACATCTGCCATCACCGATTTGAGCTTTTTGGGATCACAAGAGGATGGATATCCAGATCGTAAGTACCTAAAAAACCTCCTTTAAGAGCTCCTCTACGATCTTTTACATATTATTGTGAAGGCTTCGAATTATTCATTGGAAATATTCCCAAAATAAAATTTCAATTTCTCAACAGGTTTAAATCCAGATGTCCAAGCCTACTTGAATGAGCATCTCTTCCGTTCCTTCAGCCACAAGAGCACCGTTAGCGTTCGCCAAACTACGTTGCGACCACGACAATTGCGCAGACGAATGTCATGCAAGGGAGCAATTAAGAAGACTCGTTCAATCAACGCAGATTGTAAGTGGAATCGAATATATTTTTGGTATTGCCATTTAATTTGAAGCTTCTAATCATTCTGCAATAAGTGAAATTTCGATTCTCAAACTAAAATTCCATTCTTTCATCAAAATCAGCTGATACCCTTGGAATGGAAGGGAATGTGATTGAACGTCGCACATCAACCGCCCAGCTGTGGGCTGATGCGCGCCAGCAAACCGTACCATCAACATCGGCAACATCACCCGTTACAGTGCCAGCATACTCGAATATATTTGTGACACCGCCGGATCATGATCATCGGCCTCATTTGGAGCGGATGAAAGAGGTTGACAAGCCGGAAATCGCAGCAAGTAAGCTTAGTCAAATCAAGAACAAACACGACGGTGAGACATCAAAATTGTTTTTTTTTACATTGGCACCACTCTAAATTCTGTTTTCTTCCTTTGAATTGAGACTTGATTCGGAAACACAAGCACGTCTATGAGACAAACATTTCTGATTCAAGCCTGATGGACCTTGAACACCGAATGAAATTTTTTTCGATTTATTACTAAATAAATATTCATGCCTTCTTTCAGTGCCAAAAATTCAGTTGGGACCAGCCAGTGGCCGAACACGTGGCAATGCCGACACAAATTTCGCCGACACCGAAGTGGAAGAATTGATTGCCATGCTACGAGAAACTGAGAATTTAGAAGAGCAAGGAGATATTTTACAGTATCTCGTTGACAATCAAGGTCTTGACTACAATACCGGTACGTATTCAAGTATTCAATTCGTCCACATTATTCTGTTCCTTCCCGTCCATCCAACGATTATTATGGAATGAACATTTAAGAAGAAAAAAACACCGGAATGCAATGACATTATGTGTCACGTTTGTCAAACCGTCTGTATCAATTTATTTATCCATTAGATTGCATGCAAAGACGTTCGTCTGATGATTCTGTGATGAAATGCTGTGTTTGCTTTTTTATGTCCTCGAATCGTATTTTGCTCGCTTCATTCGAATGTAAACCACTAATCGCAACCGGGAATGAAGTCAATTGACATCGACTAATTTTGATAGTTTTTATACAAAATCGAAATTGATAATATTCGATTGAATTTTCAAAGGAAAGAAACCATTCGCCTTACATCTTCAGAGGAAATGCAGATAAACAATTCATTTCCAATGAATTCCGATTGGTCGCATGAATGAAGATTGTTCATTGAAGGATCCCCAGTCCTAATTGCATGCTGTTTCATTTGCCGTGATTCAATACTGAATGAATTCAGCATCAGCATGTGCACTAAATCTGCCTGTCTCCGACTAACTTCATTAAAATTGACTATCGATTTTGACCAAAAATATTTTTTAATCCATATAAGTTAATCAATTAAAGGTGTCAGTTTCAAATATACTTCCCAAAAGTGAAACGCAATTGGTTCTGCGGTATCATAACTTTCAACACCGAAACTAAAACGACAACCAACTACTATTTAAAATACAGGCACACAATTTAAACCAAACACAATTTTAAACAAAGTTACACGTCATTTCTCGACTTAATACCAACAACAAATTACACGTATTAATGGATTTTTCGTGTATATTTTCAAAATATTTGCATTTTCCAATTTTTTTTTTTGTGTATATTATTTTTCTTGACTTTTGAATTATTCTTAACCTTATACAAATCCTTCCCACAATTATTTTCTTTATAAACAAAAATCCAAGTTTAAAACAAATTGTTGAAATCCGATGTATTTCCCGCGTACAGCATGGAATCCCAAATCCAAAAATATATATTCACACAAACAGACACATCAACATCAACCAAATCACACCAATTTATTAACCAATTTATATTTCTCTTCTCTTTTTAATGCGCTACATTTTATGCATATTTAAAAAAAAAACTGGACCGTTTTTATTTTGGGCAAAAATGAAAACTAAAAAAAAACATTCATATGGTTTGTGCTGGGTAAATCTCCAATATTTTATGCAACTACAATCAATTAACCGATATTGCCAAACAAACAAAACAAAAACCACCATCAATATTATGCTCTGTCCCAATTTTGGAAAACACATGAACATTTTTAATGCGATTTTGCGTGATTTTGCCAATTAAACACTAAATTAGTAGATAAATCCGAAACTTTTTCCACATCTGAAGGGATGTTAGAACAAGGTCGTGTTGTTACAGTGAGGATGTTGCTGAAGGGACTGTATGAAAAAGCATGCCAACAGAAACTCTGGGGTCTCGTGCGTCACACAGCCGGAATGCTTGGAAAACGCGTTGAAGATTTGGCGAAAGCAGTCGTAAGTTGATCGGCGAGGGGAGAAATTGAGATCTTTTTATTGACATTTGTCCATATTTTTCTTTTAGACATTTTTGTCATTCTCACTTCCTCACAATTATTCAAAAATACTAAAACTTCTCTTTTTAGACTGATCTGCTCGTCCGACAAAAACAAGTGACAGTTGGAATGCCACCAAATAACGAATACACCATCACGGCTCCATTACCTGAACCGGAGCTTCGACAACTCATCCATGAGGCATACGGAGACGATGAGAGTACAGCAATGTTAACACAAGAGCTCATGGTTTATTTGGCCATGTTCATTCGCACAGAACCACAACTTTTCATTGAAATGTTGCGTTTGCGAGTTGGTCTAATCATTCAGGTATGGCATTCAGTTTCAATTTACTGGTGTTTTTTTCCCACAAAAGTAAAAAACTGAGTCATGATTAATTCTTCTTCAATTCGATGTAGGTGATGGCCAAGGAATTGTCGCGAACGCTGAACTGCGATGGCGAACAAGCATCGGAACATTTGCTTAATTTATCGCCGTTTGAGATGAAAAATCTACTCTACCACATTTTGAGTGGCAAAGAATTTGCCGTTAGCAGTGGTATGCATATTCTTGAAGGAACACAATATTGAAAAAGTTTTTTGATTTTAATCAATGTTCAATTCCAGTTGCCCGTGGTAACTTCACAATTGTGAGCACAACATCGGGTCGTGTGAGTAAAAAGAGTCAAATTGGATTTGCGCCACCGGAACAAGACGATCTCGAAGTGCAAATCGATGATCGCCAGGGACAATGGTTGAGACGGCGTCGTTTGGATGGTGCCTTGAATCGTGTACCACGCGATTTCTACTCGAGAGTTTGGACAGTTTTGGAACGAGTAATTGTCGCTTAAAGAATAATAAAGAGACCGAAGTGCTAATTTTCAATCTCAAATTGCAGTGCCAAGGACTTGCCATCGAGGGTCGTGTTTTGCCACAAAGTTTAACGCAAGAAATGACACCCGGTGAATTGAAATTCGCCTTAGAAGTGGAAACCGCCTTGAATACAATTCCACAGCCCGAATACCGTCAACTGGTGGTCGAGGCACTGATGGTGTTAACACTGGTGACTGAACACAATATGGTTTCGAATTTGGGTGACATAATTTGTGTGGAGCATCTGGTGCACAAAGCCAATCAAATATTCCTCGATGAACAGCGTAAAAGCAACGGTGACGCAATGTTATGCTGTGCTAAGGAAAACAATGAATCTCTCGCGCACACAAATGGCCTTTTGTGTGGTGGAGTCGCTTATATATGCCAACACTTTTATGACAGCGCACCAAGCGGTAGCTACGGTACGATGGTTTACATTGCCAAAGCCGTTGCTGCGGTTCTAAATTGCTTGCCCAAGCATGGAGAGGCTGAGTGCACCATTTCTTAGATTATTGTTAGATGCCAAAGACTCAAACATTTTAATGTGCAGAAATTCTATACTATTTTACAGCAAGGAAACAAAAACACAGAATATAAAATATATTTATAGCAATAATTAGTGATGATGATGATGATATGGTTAGAAGAATTGTAGAGCGAGGAGTTTTATCCAATTCCTTCCTTTAACTTATTGTTATAGAAGACAGAGACTTACTGTTTCCATAATATTTTCAATTGTTTGTTCAGCGAAATGAATTCTAACAGTGAGATTTGTTAACACCACCCATTTACAGCGTTCCTAACTTAACATTGATTGTTTCATTTAGATAATTTCAATAAAATTCGTATACAAAAAGAAGAAAAAGACTTGTTTCGATTTGATGTTTGAAAATTCGCGCAATTTACATACGAAGCCCGAACTGTCATTTGGTGCTACCAATTGGTAGTGCATATGTGTGTATGTGTACGCTTGTGTGTATTAGTCAGTGTCCACTTACAGATTTGCGAATGCGTTGAATTGAATGGCAAAAAAACACAAACATTTGACGTTTAATGAGTGATATTTGGTGAAGTGTTAAAAAAATTGCAAACATTTATCAGCGTGATAGTGAAAAAAATGTTGCGTTTTCTTTGATAATTGCTGCAATTTAATCGATATTTGGTTTTTATTCAACTCATTTCCAACGAATTACGGTTGATAAGACGTGATTTTGTAAAGTTTTTGGTAAATTTTCCATGAGTTAATCCGCCAGTTGTTTTTTTTTTAGCAACATTGCTATATTTTATGTGCCAACACATCATCGTACAACGAAAAGATGTTTTTTGTTTCGTTTATAATTTGCATTATTCTAAGTGTTCACACGATTCAACCGATACACGGTGCATCCAATGCAGAAAAAGTGGTAGTGCCACAGACCAAAGGTCAATCAGCGGAAACAATATTTAGCGAAGGTGGCTCATTTACAATATCCAAAACACCAACAAGAGCCAGCAATGAATCACTTCATCCTGTTAAAGCAGTGGAACAAAGCCTTGTAAACAGTGAAACAAAGGAAGCGAAGAGACATCGAGGTATCACAAACACCGATGATGCACCATCAATTAGCGAGCTCCACAGCAATAATACCAAAAATAGTTTGATAAGTAGTAGTAAAAACACAGCAATAAATAACACAACTGCAACCGTGAATCAAAGCCCGAGTCCAAATTCGAGTCAAACAGCTTCAAAAGTTGAACCAACACTATTGAGCTCCATGCAGAATACTCAAAATATCAAAACTGATAATGCAAAGGTAAATCCACCGTCGCCTAATGCATCGAAAACAACGGCAACCGCGACCACAAATGGCACATCATCTACAACAACAACAACAACAACGACTTCTACGACCACAACGACGAAAAAGCCAACGACTACGACGACGACGACAACAACAACCAAAGCTCCTCCAAAGAAGCCTCTAATCACACAATCCGTCGAAGATGTTCCTGGTTTATTGAAGGCAGCTGAAGCTCAATCGCAGTCCCAATCCACCAAAGACCAGCCACTCGAAAATGTTCGTGACAATGAACCATTGTCACTGCAATCGTCCGAAACAATTTCATATCCAGATCAAAAGTCTAGCCACAATTTCGCCATGCTAATAGTTGGCGTTCTCGTTATAATCCCATTCTTGGTGCTATTAACAAATTACGCCGTTCGTCGTGTTCGTGACTATTGGTCAAAGCGACGATATCGACGCATGGATTACCTCATCGAAGACATGTATAACTGAAAGTGACTGAATAGCAAAACAACAACCAACTACGAATAGCAGAACAACATTTCCGCCATTTTTATTTCCATGCAGCAAAAAAGCTTGTGATTCATGCGTGTGAAAAAAAAACAAAACAAGAAAAAATGAAAACTAATGTAAATACAAACTTGAATGTTAGGCTAAGCGAATGCACCAATTTTAGAAAAACATTTTTAATTCGGTACACGAACATTTAAAACTGTCGAATTTACGCAAACAAATTAAATGATATTATGACATTGTCAACTGAAAAATACCGATCAAATAAACACATTGAAATATTTTTGTATCATTTGAACAGCTGTGTTTAACAAAAAAAACATCATATTTCAGCTTTATTGGGCATTTTTATACACTTATTTTTATTCCAGACGTAAACAGCTGTTACAGGTAAAGATATGTGAAAAAAATTCGAATTATCGCTTCAAAACAATTCAAAATCTATGATAAAATCATTATCAAGAGAACATTTCAAAGGTTTGTATCAAATTAGCTCAATACAAACTACATATTTCATGGGAAGTCGTGTAAGGTATTCTAGTTATAATGCAGTAAGCGAACTCGCTGAACTTGCTTCTTGGGTACATTTTAATTGTAGATATCTTAGATTTGAATTTATCAGCATCCGATTTGTTGAAATCTTTTTTGATCAATTCATAAAAAAAAAACTAGCTTACAGTAGAGAGCAGAGAATGTCTAAAATGTTCAAGAGTCTACTAAAGATTCCTTCTTTATTTGGATTATTACCGTTTAGTCAACCTTTCTTGAAGGTTTCTTGTCAAATTGTTCATAGTTTCATATTTTTGATGATGCATCGTGGCAGCTCAATCTTATGTTGTGCAAATTTGTGAAATTACTTGGAACCACTGAGATTCAGCAACCTACACATTTAGAATTTTCTGATCCGATAACTCATGATGCCTCATTTTTCTATATATTTTTTCATTGATAGGAATTCCACTGAACGGCATTTGGTTTTTATTGAATGGCTTACAATATAAGCATTTTTATATATGTGTTTTTGTGCGCAAATAAATTTTAAACTAAGCTGATTATATTACCAACATTTTATTTTGCAATGATCGATTTCTGGTTTTGATGAAAACTAAGACAAATGAATGGTTTGGAGCGAAAATGTAATACAGAAAAGTTGAGCGGAAAAATGTCAATGATGAATATGCGGGAAAGGGATAGCTAAAGTGTATAGTAAACTATAGTGAACTATATAGCTATCCCGTTTTCATTTGACATTTTTCCGCTCAACTTGTCTGTATTACATTTTCGCTCCAGAGCATTCAAATGATGTTGATGCTCCTATGTTCCCAATTTTTTTGGAAATAGACGCTAAAGTACGAATAAATCGAATCATTCAGTCAACAGACTTGGAAAGTTGTTTTTTAAATGAAAATATTCATAAATTTTATTCCTTTTTTTTAACTTTTCGGTAATGATCAAATACTGGTTTCGGGGCGTTTCAATTGTAGATAGCCTTCAATTTTCTTGGCAGCATCCAATCTATCCAAGTCGTTTTGCGGCAACAATAACTGCAAGGCTTCGTCGGATTCTTCTCGATAGCATTTCAGTGCGTCAACCAACTTGAAGATCAATTCATCGGAGAAAACTAATTTACACTGGTAAACGTACAACACTTTCAACTGGCGGCCAAAGCGGACTATGTCTAGTAAAGTTTCTTCTTCCATTGGTATATAGTCCAGTGTTAGCTCTTCCAAAAGTAATAGTTTTCTTGCCAAGTTCACCATGGATTGCCCGTAGTTTATTATTATTTCCGAATTATTTCCGGAACAACCAGTCAGTTCTATTTTTCGTAAATTTGTGAATTTTGGTAGATTGTCAACAACGCCTTTCAAACTGCCAACTTCCAAACGACCCAAAGAAATTTCACGCAGAAGTGGAAGTTTTCCAAGGCCATCGAAATGTACAACAAAATTATTATTTAGTGGTACATGGTATGGATTACACCAAATATCCAATTTTTCGAGACTGGCCAAGTGTTTTGTGATTGCCGGAAAGAGAGCACGATAATTTTCACTGTACCAAGCGAATCTTAAGCATGTAAGCTGAGGATTTTGTTCAATAATGGATATCAATTTTTCTGGTTCCAATTTGTTGTTGTACATCACCGAAATACTACGCAGGCTTGACCATGGTTTGCAGCAAACGTCCATCGACAATTGTGCATTCACGTTAAATTCAATCAAATTGGGGCACAATGCGTTAAAATCGATCTCATTTTCGAATTTTTCACTTCTATTGACAATTGTTAGCGATCTCAAATTTTGAAGAATTGGTGCGATCGTCCCAATAAGGTTTCCATTAAATCCAAAGCAAAAAAATGCTTGGCGAACGTTCTGGCTCACGTTCTGTGCGATTACTTTCAGATATTTTGATGTATGACTGACTACTTCACTTCGATGTTGAGAACCAGGACCATAGAATAAATCAGTTCGGAATGATAAATCAGTGATATGTTGTCCAATGCAAAGCATCGTTCGACGTACTTTGGCCAGCGTGTCCGTTGGATTGTTAATGTACACTTTGTACTTTTGAATACGTGGAAAACAGTGTAGGCGCAGCAATTGGTTGAACAATTTACACACGAAGGCCATATTAACAAGTGAGTCGATATCCAAGAACTTAAACATATGCAGCAGACAGTCTTCGTCCAACCTGAATATTTCCGAAGTTTGTTCATCATCAACTTCCATATCATCTCCAGGTGGTGGATTGGCATTTTCTAACGGTTGTTCCCATGTGTAAGCTGGCTCAACTTCATACGGCTGCATTTTGTTCATCTTCGTGTCTAGCTCAAAGTGCGATTGCACAAAACAAGCAATTCGATCGCTGACAAATGTCACATGTGCTTCTGGTTCATTGTTGGGCAGCAGTTCAATCGATTCGATCTCGCCAAATTTCCGAAAGTGTCGACGAATTGATTCAATTGAAAACCCTTCATTAGCCTATTGAAAGAAAAATTGCCATTGAGCTTCGTGCAAATATTTGAGGTTACGTACACTAAATACATACCACATCGAGCTGAGTCGGTCTAACACAAAGTTTTCGTGCCACAACAAAACGACTTTTATCGTATGAATCTTCGTTATCTATCAACATCCATTCCGAATCGTCCCAAATGAACGGCATTTTGTGTTTTGAACTTCAGAAAACAAAAAGATTTCGAGCGAATTTTAAATAAACTATATTTTGCTTATCAATCGATGCTAATACGCAAATCCAATTGTTCATAACATGTAGAATGAAATGTCAAGTGACCGCCAAACCGATATTGATGTCTTCATTATGCATTGATGCGATATCAGGTGGCGTTGCAAGTGATTAAAGGGTTGTTTGAATAGAGATTGAACAAAATTGAGTTGACTTTGAATTCGAAATAATAAAATGAATATCATGCGTCAATCGGTATCTAATTTAAAAATGATTTTAAAAAATACATCGAAGATAAATCATCTAAACTGTCCACAGTGAACAGGCTGTTTAATACGAAAAACGATATTATTAACTTAACTTACGAATATACTATATTGATGCGAGTAAATTAAATGCGTGGACTCGTCTCAAAGCGCTTTGGTTGTTTAAATTTTCAGATTTGTTTGACATTGTAGCAAATGTAATATTTACCACAATATTTCATATTTTGTATTTCATTAAATTTCTTTTTGAATCATATCTTTATTATCCAAAATCCACAATTTTCTTTTTCAGCGTACATTCGGGTTGTTTTTTTATTGTTATCATTTGTGGTAAGTTATAATCCAGTAAACTGACTTGTTGCACTTCATTCGTATCGGTTGGTTGATTGTAAACCACTCGATGTTGCACAGATGAACTGTTGAGCCTATGTCTAATCACTTGGTTGACGGGCTTGAATCTGCCCACCACAAAATGTAGACAAATTATGACAAGAATAATGACCCCAACGATCAAGAGTGTTTTGATTGTAGACATATCTTCCAAATGACTTTTCAACAAGCCACTGTCCTTATCTTCAACCTGTGTTTCAGTCTTTGTTCCGTTGTTTACATTAAACTCAGTGGTGTGAACGCAATCAACTCCGCCCATATGCGTTTGGCCTGATGGATTATCAATCAATACTAAATCGTTCCATTGAAGTAAAAATTTCGCTAAATATTCGCAAGAGAAATCATTTTTTGAAATAACCAGCACGGATAGCTCTGGAAAATGAGTACTTGTTATGCTATCAATTTCCTTTAAATTGTTCCCTTCTAAATCTAAAGAAGCTAATCTCTTGAAATTTCTCACGAAAAGTTTAAAATCGACTCGTTTCAAATTGTTGTACGAAATATCGAGTATTTCCAATTTTCTTTGGTGATAAAAAGTTGCGAATTCAAAATGCGTTAAATTCGTTTGTCTCAAGTATAAATGCTTCAAATTGATGAAACGTTGAAATGTGCTCGCCTTTAGTTCACCCACAAACTGATACGATAAGTCAAGTGTTTCCAAGTGTATACTCGCTTCTTCAATTAGAATGGAAATATTTTCTATTTCACTGCCGGACACATTTAAAAGCCGAAGTCTCTCGAAACTTTCTCTGCTAAACGTCCATACGATATTATTTTCAGATTTGTGTAACGAAATAGAATCGATCGGCGAAATTGTGATGATTAAATTGGTGTCGTTAACGCAACTCGCATCCAAATACTCCATCGTATTGATCGAGATGTTTATTAAATTTTCGGACCAATTTTTCAACAATTTGCAGTCTAAAGTGGATATAAGATTATTATTCAGCTTTAAATTTTTCAATTTTTTATTGTTTATCAGCAAATCTGTGTCGATGCTGTAGATTAAATTGCCGCCAATGTCAAAAAATTCCAGCTCATTGAGATTTGAAAAGACTGATGCATTGAAATCGCCAATCCAATTGCCCGATAGATCGATGCTCCGCAATTCTTCAACGTTCGCAAACAAAGACTCATTCACATTGGATAATGCGTTATTCGACAAATTCAGTTCACGTAATTCTAGTGGCTGAATAAATTCGTTGGCAATGTGCCCAAGATATTATTTGACAGAAATAATTTCTCCAAGTGTTCGTTTCCATTGAATATATTCTCTGGCAATGACTTGAGTCCAGCACTTGACATATTGAGCACAATAAGATCTTTGAATGCGTTCATCCCAAACTCCTCACTGAATATTTCAGTCTTACATCCCGGGAATGACAATATTCGAACCAGACTACGATCGATGCCCGATAGATAGTTATTGCAATATAAAAATTCTCTGGTTCGTCGGCTGAAATGCTCCCCATTTTCCACTCCACACATGTAGGTAACATGCTGTAACTTTTCGTCATACGAACAATCGTTTAACCAAAATGTATTCACTATTTGTAAAACTATAGACAAAACAATTAGAATGAAACTTTTTCTTGTGTACATTTTGTACAAGACCCTTGTTTATTGTTCTGATTTGAATGTAGCGACGTTTGCAACTGAACTGATTTCTTGAACATTTTCAATAACATTGAAGGAGAAACTGGATTTTGTGACTTTGATCCCAATCCCACCACTTCGAAGCACACTGATAAGATTGCTTCGCTGTGCACGCTGAGTATTTTGAATAAAAACGACTGAATAAAGTAGCAATTAACATCACCGGAAGATATCAACTATTGTCGCTGCAAATTTATATTTTTGTAATATTCGCCTACAACTTTCGTCATTAAAATTCAAATTCACCAACAAATTTCAACAAATGATGAAAAAATAAAATATCGACAACAATAAGTTAGCGAGGAAAAATATAGCAGCGTCAGAGAGTTAGCCGTATAAAAAATACAGAGTAAGCCGTGTAAAAATTAAAGCAAATAAATCATTTAAATTGGTGCAAAATAGAGATATGATTCATCGTTTTTTGGATAACAGAGATATGACAACAGTAGCACATTTATTATTGTTTACAGTTTATTAATTACGTTCAACTCGCTGTCGCTGCACATTTTTTTTTCTCTCAAACTCATATATTTGGGTAATAAACATATGATTCATCAAAATGAAATTCGATGAGATACAAAATATGAAAAATAGTGGTAAAAAACATATGAGTGCTTGGAGACAAATTTATCATTTTATGTCATTCGGCTCCAAGCGCTTTGGTTGTTCACAATTTCAGATAACGAGTTGCATGAGTTATTTCTTGTAACTGTTTACCACAAGCTAACAGATATTCAGTCGACATTTTAAACAAGCTGTAAAACGTTTTTCATGAAAAAAGGTGCACCAAAATGTTCATATTTTGTATTTCATCGAATTTCATTTTGATGAATCATATGTTTATTACCCAAATTTATTTAGTTTGAGAAAAAAAAAGTGCAGCGACAGCAAGTAGCCCGTATAAAAATAAAGAATGAAAGAATACAGCGGAGCTATGGAGGAGCTTCGAAGCTATGGAGGAGGTTCGAAGCTACTGAAAAAAACGTATAAATAGCAGATGACATCCACTGTAACAATTATTATTACTTCGACAACCGAAGAGTGAACAACAAACTTTGAAAGTGAATTAAAGTGAAAAAAGTGCATTAAAACAATTAGAAGAACAAGAAACGGTAATATAGTGAAAGGAAACAACTTTGAGAAAATTGGTCGTTCGTAAATGAGATTGTGATATTTTTTTTGCAAAAATAAACGGTAGGTCTAAAATCTGACTTAATTTTAACTAGAATAGTCATTCGGAACCTTGTGTGATAGAATTCATGATTCGGACTCAAATCGGACGCTGCACTGGTTGTATGCACTGAGTGCGAAAAATCATAAACTTTTCTACACTTGTGATGATGGATTGATGGACTGTATTCATTCCCTACATATTTATAATATACATTTTTAATGTCTCAGCTTTACATAGTAGGCTGACTCAATTGTCTCTTATTTACGTTTTTAAAGACATTTCATAGTTATTCCACGAATATGAATGATTTATATTGCTTTTTAAGTTAGTAAGTATTGAGAATTGAGATAGTTGAGCTATCACAATGTTTCCGTTACATCATTATCAATCATTCTGTCTTTTTCTTATTTCTCAGTCAAAAATGTCATCTAAAAGGCTACTTCTCTTTGTGGCAATCGCTATTTTTGCACTGAGCGTGCCTATTGTTGCCGAAGAACCCATGGCTTTTATAAGAATCGATGCAAATTTTGCCTTTGACAATAATTGCATATTCAAAATGAATATATCATCGACATACAATTTGAATATAATTCAAATAGTCATGTCGACCAGATTGCCATGGGTTCGGAATTGTCTTCTTAAAATTAGAATCGTTCTGTAAAGTAAGTAGATTTCTCCTTCAATTCACATTTTCCCCATTCATTTTTATTTTCTAAATTAATTATGCTTCGAATTTTTTTTATCTCATTCAGGGCAGTTGAAACCATTACATGATACTAAAAACGTTAGCGTCTGAATGAATGCCGTTTTGTCCATCAAGAAAAGGAAATCGAGAGTACATATTTTGATGAAATAGATCAGACACGTGTTTAATATTAAGCTATCTATTAACCCTCTAATGCCTTATTTTTCCCAGGGTTGGGAGTACTGTAACTTGGTTGATTTTTGGCCATAGATAATAAAAAAAATATTCATAACCCTGGATTCCTCATGGTTTGGTCAAGAAATGCGATTGACATAAATCAGAGAACAATCAAGCCCATTGTTCAAAAGTGTCAAAAATGTGTCTAATTTAGAGTTTGAATAATTTATTTTGTCAAATTTTTGTTTTTGAAAACATTTTTGTTTATAACTTTACAATCATACCACATAGACAAATATTGCTAAAGACAAAAATAGAGAACATTAACGAATAAAAATTCCTTTTGAAGCAATATGATCCGATGTACGGTTTACGTTCTACAGGCATTCAAATGTCCGTCTTAAGGCGGTTGTATGCATTAAAGGGTTAAGTGCCAAAATAATGTTCCATGTTTAATTTTACGTAGACAAATTTTAACTTTCTACTACAGTTGTTACGTGTTAGCAAACGGATGCATTTATTTTTATAATAGTCACTTAAGCAATTATCCAAATTTTGAGTTTCATATCAAAAAATATTTATATTTACTTTGTTCTGAACTTTGTTAAGAAGGTCTCGAGCATTCAATTTGTATATGATATTACCTAGTCAAATAAACGTTCCTTAAATTTGTAAACCATTATAACCATTCCACAATAAGTAGTTTGGTTTCAATGCAACGTTTGATTCAAAGTCAAAGACTTGAACGAACAAACTGTTGAATTTTACTTAGGATAAAAAAGAAAAACATGGAAAATTTGGAAAAAAAAAATTCCATTTTTTTCAAATTTTTGTAAACAATTTTAAAATGGTTTATGTAAAAGAAAATTATTTTAACTAAATAACATATGCTACACTTTAACTTTACATTGGACATTTTGTTTGCAGAGTTGCGCCACCTGCGCCATTTCATCCAGCGACACAATAATCGCATCATTTACAACTTGAATGCGTTGCAAAGAGCCATTGCGCACTGGTATATCCAAATTGATGCCTTCCATTGTTCTGAAATCCATGAATGTGTCTTGTTCGACAAGACAACCTTTGTCATCATCGTTACTGGGGGAAAAGACCAGAGCTCCAGCCAAGTTATGTTTCATCGCCCATCTCATGTTATTAGCTATGTGACGGAATTTTTCGAAATGGAATACGTAAAAAAGTAATTTATCGTGTACATTACGTATTACAACTTTGTACTTCTCGGTGTTATATTTTATTACCTCATATTCATTATACTCACGCATTAGACTCGAGCATAAATGAAAGTAAGGATATGACTCCTTATATGATGCAGCTGGGCGAGGGAATAAATCCAACGACTGTTGTATGGTTAATTTCGTTGAGGGCACATTCATTTTTATTAAATCAGCTATGGTACTCTGGTTCGATATATGCATAAGATCAAGATATTCAGACATTTCAAACAAGTGTGGATCTTCCGTATTGAATTGATTGTCTCCATCGTATGAACCGAATGTTGATGTTAGCAGCAAATTGGTGTAATCAAATACCGTCCGAAACTCTTTCACCAATGACACAAGTGATTTTTTGTCAGTCTTGTTGTAGCTTTTATGAGAAATAGACCAGAATTGAATAACATATAAGAACTACCCATTTCAAACAGCTCAGCAGTGGAATAGATTCCCAAAATGACCTATTGAAATTAATATCGTTACGTTTATCCATTGCAATTTAGCGAAGGTGAGAAAGAATTATGCTTACGTTTAAATGTGGATATTTTTCTCGTTTGTTCAACCATTTTTGGATGAAATCAGGCATATTTATCCAGTGCTCTGCTGCGCTCCACGGCACTTAAAGTCGAAGTAATCAAAGAAGAGGTCAATATTTATTACAAACTCATAAAATACGACAGCTACATATCTGTCGGTTAGACGTAAAAGAATGTAAGTTTGTTGGTTATTAATACCTATTTGAAGAAGAAAGTAGTTTTTCGATCGATTTTGTCTAACTTAAAGAGGAAAATGTTCTGCTTTTTCTGCCAAAAAAAAAATGAAATTTGTAGCAAAACTTCAGTGTATTCAAAGTGATTCTCAGAAGGTTCGAACGAATGTTTGAAATAGAATAACCATTCAAATAAACATGGTTATTGTCGAATGTAAGGGCATCCAATGCTTATTTTCCAGCAGGGCGCATTTACTAGAGTAAATAACATTTTTAACAAAGAAAGTTTAACTACAAAACTTTTGCTGTAAACAATTAATCAACATTCATCTGTTGTTGATATTTTTCTTGCGTTTATTTTACTCAATTTTGGAAATAAATGGTAGAGAACTTCTGGTTATTGGCCAAAATGAGATTATATCTTTAGTTAAAACCAAACATACATCTCGTTATTACTACACTCAAACTTGCGTTCTTTAACGTTTTATCAATAGATACGATCAATTTATTCAATATTTACTTGAATCGTCATCCGTTATATATGTATCCACAATTATATGTGTATACAGATTAAGTCCATTATACTTTTCAAATGTGTCTATACGATCCAATACTTCAATATCCTGGAATACCTTATATTTTTCAAAGCATACGACAGTTTTGTTGTGCGACAGACCTGCCAAAATATTGTATATCATTAGTCGTATTCAAACCACAAGTAGTTTCATGTATTATGCAATAACAATAACTAATATTCATTTTTTAATGTAACAACAATTATTGGATTTCAAATTAAATATTTTTTTTATTCAAAATAAACATATACCAGTCATAGCAGACGTTAGCGCAAAGAAACTATAAATTACGAATATGCTAGCCGATCACATCATGTTGAAATTCCAAATGAAACTAAAAACTATTTGCGTTGTCTTTGGTATTTATTAGGCGAGTGAGTGAGTCAAGTTCTAGGGGCCATCATTAACCCTCAACTGCATAAGCCCGC